AAAGCATTCACAGACTTCATTGTCCATGAAGCTTTGCATTGAGACCTGGGGCAGCTATCCGAAATATTGACCTCAGCTAGGAGAGATTTACTGTCTTCACTCAGCTATTACTTGCTCTGAGTGACGGAGCAAGTCCCTAGGATTTCTGTCACCATCTGTGCCTATGTACTTTAAGAAAGATAATTGAAAATTGCCCTGAGCAGCTTGATCTCCCTTGCTTTGTGTGTAATGCAGGCTATCATTTTGGATGGCTTGAGAAATACTTTCTCTGCCATACACATGCAGCATGGATAAGGAAGAAAGGGAAAGGTAGCCTAACTAAATACTTTAAGTGTCTCTTAGAAAATAATATACCCTGGTAGAACAGCTGAATACAGCCTGTGAAGAAGCTTAATAATAATAATAATAATAATAATAATAATAATAATAATAGAAATTGAAATTAAAAATAAAAATACAAAATAAAAATAAAAATAAAAGTGTTCAGTTTGTGAAAGCCAGGGAAAATAATAAGACCCATCATCATTCTGGGTTCACAAAACACTCATATTGCATGCAACAGCCACACACGCTACATTTGATGCACCCTGTGGTCTGGAAATCGGGATCACGAGGTATGCTGGGAACCTGGAAGCCAAGGGGCCTGCAGGGACTCCTCTCAGCTGGAGTCTCAGCCTTTGCCTCTGCCGAGCCTGCCACCACGTGTGCTATTAGCATTCATTATATGAGAGTGTTTTTGTGATGTGGGTGCATCTCCACCTGGAACGAGTTGAAAAAGCATAAAGGCCATCAAAGTGCTATCAGATGTTATTAACGTTGAGCCCACTAAAATCTGGACTACATCTGATCTACTGGCACACAGATGACAAGTCCTACATCTCATTAAGAATTTCCTGAGTCCTCAGACGTATTGCTTATGTAAAAGATGCTTCTGAATGGGTTGCCGTTCTTTAAATGACAAAGCAGAGAATAAGAGGAATATTTCTGATGGTTTCATTAATGGCTTTTCAGTCCAGTCCCTGTATCTTCCTTCTGCCACTGGTTTATCTCTTGGGAGGCTCCCTTGCACAGATTCTTTTGCCCTCCCTGTGGCTGCTGGTGGTGAGGCCTGTGCTGGAGCCCAACAACCGTCACCACCGTGCTGGTCCCCAAAGGGCTCTCCCACTGCCGGCTGGCTGCACAACCCCCCCCCCCAGGCCAGAAGCACCAAGCCTCCCCATATTTTCAGTACCTCTCAGCCATCTCTTCACCATATTTATGTCTACACAGAAAACGTCTCCTTCATCTACCGTTGCTGTCATTTTCTCCCTCTAACCCTTCTGCCAAAAGGTTATTTTCCACCCCTTCCATTCATTCCTCCATCCCTCCCTCTGTAATTCCCACACCAGGAATACCCTCCTCTCTGCTCCGAAGCGCTCGTGACAGCTGCCATCTTGGCCCAATCAGAAGAAATTGATCCAGCATCCTTCAGCGCCAAGCGCATTTGATCTGTAAAGCTCTCCAGCTGGCTCTGTAATAACTCATATCCTTTGTGGGTTACACATCAAG